TTAAAAATATTACTATACAAGAAATAGAAAAAGAAATCATGAAATTAATTTGGAAAAATAAGAGACCCCAAATAGCCAAAGCTATTCTCCTTATTGAGAAAAATGATGCAGGAGGCATCACATACTGGACCTTAAATTATACTACAGAGCTACAGTAACAAAAACAGCATGGTATTGGCACCAAAACAGACATGAAGACCAATGAAACAGATCAGCAGGCACAGGGATAAATACAGTTATCTCATCCTAGACAAAGGCACTCTAAATGTACATTGGAGAAAAGATAGCCTATTCAATAAATGGGTCTGGGAAAACTGGAAATCTATTGTGTAGAAGAATGAAATTGAACCTCTATATCTCTCCCTGCACAAAACTCAACTCAAAGTGGATCAAGGACCTAAGCATTTGACCAGAGACCCTGCACTTAACTAGAAGAAAAAGTAGGCCAAGTATCTAACATGTTGGCTTGGGAACCAAATTCTTCAACAAGACTCCTAAAACACAAGTAGTAAAATCAATACCCAGAAAACAAATAACCCAATCAATAAATGGGCTGAGGAACTGAACATACACTTCATAGCAGAAGAAATACAACTGATCAACAAATATATGGAAAAATGTTGAACTTCTCTAGCAATTAGAGAAATGCAATTAAAACTACACTGAAATTCCATCTCACTCCAGTCAGAATGGCAGTTATAAAGATACAAGTAACAATAAATGTTGGCAAGGATGTGGGGAGAATGGTACTCTCATACATTAATTGTGGGACTGCAAACTGGAGCAACCATTATGAAAAGCTGTATGAAAATTCCTCAGGAATTGGAATGGAACCACCATTTGACCAAGTTATCCCATGCCTAGGTTTATACCTTAAGGACTTAAAAATAAGCATACTACAGTGTTGCAGCCACATCAATGTTTATAGTAGCTCAACTCACAATAGCCAAGCTATGGAAACAACCTAGGTGAATAAAGAAAATGTGAGATATATATAAGAAATGGAATATTACTGAATGAAATTATGGCATTTGCCGGTAAATGCATGAAACTGTAGAATAGGCAAAAAAAAAAAAAAAAGTTCTCTCTGATTTGTGTATGCTAAACCACAACAAGGGAGGGTGGAGAGGAAAAGAATACAAGTCCATTGGATTAGACAAAGGGAAATATTGGGGAGAAAGGGAGGAGGGGAATACGTAAAACAGAATTAATTGGTCATAACTTTCCTAGCTTTGTATTTGTATACGCTATGAGAGTAACTCCATATGATGTACAACCACAAGAGTGGGAACCTAAATAGAATAAGTTATACTCTACGTATGTATACTCTGCCAAAATACTTCTACTGTCATGTATAACTAAAAAATAATAATTAAAAAAATACTGTATTGAGCTGGGTATGGAGTGTACACCTGTAATCCCAGGAACTCGGGAGGCTGAAGCAGGAGGATCTCAGGTTTGGGGCCAGCCTCAGCAATTCATCAAGGCCCTATAAGCAACCTAGTGAGACCCTGTTTCAAAATAAAAAGGGCTGGGATGTAGTTCAGTGGTTAAGTGCACCTGTGTACCAAACTGGCTCTCCTATGCAAACAATTTCATCTCTTCTCCAAATAAATCTATTCAAACATAGCAGCTTCTAAACTATACCCCAAAAGAGGGTAAACGGTAATACTATTAACTTAATATGCAAATACTCATAGATACATGTATATACATGTGTTAGCATATATTTCCTTACTTAGCTCAGGGCCCTTGACACCCTCAACAACAGTGAGGCTCTAAACAACTTAGTAAGACCCTGTCTCTAAATAAAATACAAAATAGGGCTAAGGATGTGGCTCAGTGGTTGAGTGCCCCTGAGTTTAATCTCCTGGTATCCCCTCCACCTCTGCAAAACAAACAAACAAACAAAAAAAAAAACTTCCAGAATAATTTGAGTACCAATACATACACAGATGCAAATAACTGAATAAATGGGAGAGAAAAGACAAATCCCAGCTACTCAAGAGGTTGAGACATGAGGACTGCTTAAGTTCAAGAGTTCAAGGACAGCCTTTGCAACAAAGCAAATCCCCATGTCTTAAAAAAATAAAGATCAAGAAGCCAGGTACAGAGGCTGGGGTTGTGGCTCAGCAGTAGAGCGCTCACCTAGCATGTGTAAGGCCCTGGGTTAGACCCTCAGCACCACGTAAGAATAAATAAAAATAAAGTTAAAAAAAAAAGAAGCCAGGTACAATGGCACATGCCTGAAACTCCAGGAACTCAGGTGGCTGAGGCAGGAGAACCACAAGTTTGAGGTCAGCCTCATCATTTTAGTAAGACCCTGTCTCAAAAAATAAGGACTGAGATGTACTTCTATAGTAAAGTGCCCCTGGGTTCAATCCCTACATTAAAAAAAAAACAAAGTGAAAATTTTTAGAAGGAAACACACACACACACACACACACACACACACACACACACACACACTTCTTGCCCTGCACCATCTTGGGACTACCAACATGAAATCGATCACCAGATGCAGCCCTATGACCAGAACTGAGGGCCAAAATAAATCTTTTCTTTATAATTTATCCATACAGTTTGTGGTACTATATTAATAGCAAGAGAAAACAGATTTAAGACAGTTATCTATAAGAGAGATGAAATGAATAGATGATATTAGAAAAAACAGCTAGTTGGCTTTCAGCACTTTAAATAGCAAACCAACAGAAGTTGAAAATTCTATGAAGGAATGCATCAGAGCTGTTCATCACTGCACATCTAGTACCTAGAACAGCACTCTGCACACTATGGGTTCTCAAAATTTGTTGAGAACACAGGAGGGAGGGAAGGAGGAAGGGAAGAAAGGCAGGAAGGAAGAGCACTGTATAGAGCACTATTTTAATTTATTCCCAGGTTTTACCTTTTGTTATTGCTTTTTTCTTTCTCCTTTACTAATTGATTAGAGCAAGGAAAGCTATTCATATCACAATATTAACTTTGAAAATGACCATCTGACTGCCTGTTCATAATATTCTAAAACGTTTATTTTTCCAGTCTTCTTAGGTATCCATAAGAATAACTTTTCCCTAACAATTACATTTCATTTTGTTCTGCCTCACTGTGTTACCTAGCACTTCCAGAAAGATGCCAAATAAAGGCAACATTAAATGGCTTCCTTGATGGGCTCCTGACTTCACTGGGAATACTTCTAGTTTTTCCCCACCATTAAGCATGATGCTGAGCATGATTTAACATATTCATCTGTTCCTCCTAACAAGGACTTTTTTAAACATAAGGAACTCAAAATTGTATTTAAATGTAGAAAACATTTTAATTTAGATAATTTTCTTTAGTTTCTTAACGAATTCAATGGAAACATTTCCAAATAATCAACTATCCCCATTTTCTGACAAATTATATTTTGTCAAGGTAATATGTCTTTTAGTATAGTCATAATTCTATTTGCTAAATATAACTTGGGTTTCCATCAATGTTAGTGATGTTGATGTGCTTTTGGCCATGTTTTAGTATTAGTGTGAGCTAAATTTAAAAAGCAATAGGAAGCTTTCCTTCCTTCTTTATGCTATGTGTCAATTTAGGTAACATCAGAATTATCTATTCCTTATAGGCTTAAAACAATTCTTCAGTTTATCTCCCAAAACTGATACTTGACTTTTTTGGAGCTAAAGCTCTTTGCTAGTTTTCTTGAACCTTTCCTTACATACAGATGTCTGCATTTTTCCACAAATAACAAAATTATCTTGATTTACATTTTCTTAAACAACTTATTTCATCCAGCAATTTTTAATTTTTAATCTTGAAAATGTTTTGGAAAACTTATTTAGGTGCTAATTTATCCCAATTGATTAAGAAAAATATGTTATAAAGATAGGAAATGAAATAAAGGTGTCAATTTATTAGAATTTGGAAGAGTTGCTGGATACAAAAGTCAACAAGTCAACTGCATTTCTATGTATCAGCAAATAAACTACTATTTATAATAGCATCAAAAGCATAAGGCTACTAGAAATAAGACATATAAAGAGAGAATTCATTAAAACTTCAAAGGTCTAAATGGAGAGGTCCTGAATTACAAGACTCAACACTGATCCATAGCTGCAATTCCCAATGAAATTCAAGCAGAATATTTGTAGAGCTTTGATACACTAATTTCAAAATCTTTAACTGTAAGTGTTAAGAGCCAAATAACAAAGATACCCTTGAAGAAGAATGCATTTGGGAATATGGAGGAAGGGATATATCAAAAAAGTCTATAAGGCCACAGTCCTTAGACCAGTATGGACACAGGGTAAACTAGGCAGGCAAGAGGATCACAAGTTTGAGGCCAGTCCAGGCAATTCAGCAAGACCCTGTCTCAAAAAATAAACAGAGCTGAGGAAGCAGCTCAGTCCTTGGTATAGTACCTCTGGGTTCAATCCCCACTACCACAAACAAACAAATGAAACCCCACCAGAAGCTGGAAACAGACCAAATATCTATTATGGATTAGTTATGTGGCATGTTAATAAAATGGAATAATATAATATTGTAAAGTAATAAAATGTAGCTGTATGCATCAGAATCTCTCAATTATATACAGAATTACATAGAATTCCATTATATAAATTCAAACACAGACAAATCCACCTATTGTTTAGGGAAATATACGTAAGTAGTCAAACTAAAGAGAATGATCATAAAAGTTAGAACAAAGTCAGTTTACCTCTTAGGGAAGTCTATTCTGGTAGGGGCACACAGGAGGCTTTAAAAAGGTACTGGCATCATTCTACTTCTTAACCTTGGTAGAATTATATCTGTTTGTTTTATTATTTAAACTTTGCATGCACATTTTATACATTTATGTATAAAGTTCAAATTTTTAAAGACTATTTTTATAAGTTAAAATTTTGACAGCCTAATCTTTATTTTCAAAGGCAATCAATGTTTACTTATTCACAACATACTAAAGAGAACAGACATCTGTATTCTTACAACTAAGTCTGAAGACAACATACCTTATATAGTCCAATGCCAGGATCAATAAGACAAGCACGAGTTGACTTAGATGGTTGGCTAGAAGATCCCACCTTTGCAGTTTTCTTCACTTTAGGTGGACTATTAGAACAGGGTTTAGTCTGTACATCAGTCTGTTTAGATGTGCTAGGAAGATCAGGATCTGGACGAACTAGTAGCTGAATTATATCATTCAGTCCAACATCATAGTCAAATAAAGTATATCCATTTTCCAGCTAGAAAAAAAAGAAAAATATATTAAAAGGCTTCTCTCAAGTCTTAAAAAAAAAAAACACAAAAAACAACTTATCTTTCATTGCCTAAATGTTCAAGCCAGACTATTAAAACTCATAGCACTGCAACTTAGTGATCTGAAACAATTCTTATTATTTTATGACCTCTAATGTCAGCATTTTCTCCAGACTCCAATCAATACTTACAAACTATTCCATAAGCCAGGCAGAGTGGTATATGCCAATAGTCCCAGTTTAGGCCTGGGGAGGCTGAGGAAGGAGGATCACAAATTTCAGGAAAAACTCAGCAACTTTATTGAGACCCTGTCCTAATTTTTTTTTTAAAGGGGAAGGGGATGGCTAGGATGTAGCTCAATGGTAGAGCATCACTGGTTCAAGCCCAGAACAAAAAGAAAATTAAAAAAAAAAAAAGCAACACTGCACATTAGCTACAGGGAACACTGCTAGCCATGAAGAAGAAAGAAGAAAGAAAAAGAAGAAAATAGAGCATCCTTGTGACTGTGATCTCATGACCTAGCCTATCACCAAATGTTCATTTTAATGAACAGTGCCTGAATCCACTGCAAGGAAAAAAGAATTTTGAAAGCAATGACCTTGCATTTGTAAAGATATTAAGTCAAACACTATCTTTCTGAAACACTGCTGAGATGCACACATGGGCCTCTATATTTTTTCTTGTTGGTTCTGGGGATTGGATTAAAGTGTAGTTCTACCACTGAGCTGCACCCCCAGATGTTTTTTTAAGACAGTCTTGCCAAATTGCCAAAATTGGCCTTGAACTTGTGAGCCTCCTAACTCAGTTTCCCGAGTCCCTGAGTTTAGAAGCATGCATCACTGACCAACTTGTCAATATTTTAAAAACCAGGCAGGGATAATTATAATTCTTGCTTATGCTATATTCCACTTGCCTGAAGTTCTCTGATTTTATGCATTTACAAAGATTACCGAGTTTTAGCATAAAATCTTCCAGGACAAATAGCAAATAAGTTATCTTGCAACTCAGACATATTTTGAGGGTTATAGGTTGAATTGTACTTCCTTTCCCAAAAGAGATATTGATGTACCTACTTAGGATGCATAAGGCCCTAAGTTCAAGTCCCCAAACCAAACCAAAACAAAACAAACTTCAGAATGTGACTATATTTGAAATAAGGGCCATTAGATGCAGTCAGATCATACATTTCACTGAAGAAGTGCAAAACTTTTATTTGTTTTTGGGCTGAGTTGTCTCCCTCCCCATTTTGGGGGAGTACCAGTGATTGAACACAGGGGTGATTTACCACTGAGCTACATCTCCAGCTCTTTTATTTTTGAAAAAATATTTTTTAGTTGTAATTGGACACAATATTTTTATTTTATTTATTTATTTATATGTGATGCTGAGGATCGAACCCAGGGCCTCTCACATACGAGGCAAGAGCTCTACAGCTGAGCTACAACCCCAGCCCTCTTTTATTTTTTGAGACAGGATCTTGTCAAGTTACTTACTGTGATAGAATGAATCAAGAAAACTAAATTCCTTGAAGATCAGATCATTTTCCCCAGAAATATGACCAATCTGAACTGTGCTCATTCTCCCCTCTGATATATATTTATCACCATTCACAAGTCAACTAACTCTGGCAATATTTGAGAAGTCAACTGAAAAGAATAAGTCTGTTAAATATAGCAGACTTATAAACTTATTAATACACTAGATTAGTGATTTTAATTCCTATAGTCCAAGAACACCTTAAACTTGTGATCATCCTGTCTCAGACTTGTGAGTTTACAGGCATGCATCACCATGCCTCACCCTCTCATGCTTCAGTCCTAATCCCCAATGCCTCAGAATGTGACCCTATTTGGAGATAGAATCTTTAAGGAGATAATTAAGTTAAAATGAGGTCATTAGAGTAAGCCCTTAATTCAATAGGAGGGGTATCCTTATAAAAAGGGGAAATGTGGACCAAGGGAAGATCATGTGAAGATATACAGGGAAAAGGAGGCCACGTGAATGCACTAGATAACATCTCCAAGGTTAAAAAAAAAAAAATTCCTGCAAACACAGAAGCACAGGGATTCTCCTCTAGACTTATCAGAAGGCACATCCCTGCTGACTAACCTTCAATTCTAACCTCTTGAACTGAGATAAAATTTTTTGTGATTTTAGAACAACTAGGTTTTAGTTTGTTATAGTAGCCCTAGGAAACTGTCTCCATTTTATTTCTTTATAAAATTCAATTGGCTATTTCACTGTGGTACAATGAATCAAGAAAAACTAAATTCCTTGAAGATCAGATCATTTCCCCCAGAAATATGACCAATCCGAACAGTGCTCATTCTCCCTTCTTTAATATATATTTATCACCATTCACAACTCAATTCTGGCAATATTTGAGAAGTTAACTGAAAAGAACAAGTCTGTAACAGACTTATAAACTTACTAATATACTAGATCAGTAATTTTAATTCCTATAGTCCAAGAACACACAAGTTAAATAGAACAAAAGAACAATAATTTCATAATTCCCCAGTGAAGGAATTAAATTAGGTACTATCTCACAGGTTAGTTAACGTGCTTAACCTAGAGTTGAGGCTATAGCTCAGTGGGAAGAGTACTCACATAGCATGAGCAAGGCCCAGGAATTGATCCTCAGCAATACACATAGACAATGTAAAATTAGGCTTAATAAGCCTAAGTAGTAACCAGATAAGCCCTTATAGGGATAGGAATTTAATATTGCTTACTTTATTAAAAACAAATAACTCTTCTAGTCCTGAACTCCTGTGGGGAAGGGGTGGGGGACTCAAGAAGTAGAAACTGGGCATTGATACCTTCATTTTGATATTCTCCAATAATCAAAAATAAGAGCACCCTAATTTTCAAAGAGCTGAAAAAGCACAACTTTGACTATATATGCAAACTGATAAACATTGCCATTTAAAAAAAATAAGTGTTTAAAGTTAAAAAATAAAATGTAACAGCACAAAATAAGCAAATTAACTAGTAGGGCAGCAGTTAAAGTGGTGAAATAATTAGAAATTGAAAGTGTTTCCATAAACATTTTTTCCATTAGAGGCACAAGAGTCAGAGGGACCTGGGGACATTCCTACACTCAAAGTCTCTGGCAATTTTCTACCAAATGATTGTCAAAAGTAAATATAGATTGCTTCAAGTGGTTCCCTTTCTCAACTTGGTTTGACAGAAAAAGTATGTCTGAAGTCAGTGAAACACTAAACACATCAAAGCTGAAGTCCTATAATAAATGTTATCACCTTTCTTCATGCTTGCTGTGACAAACTTTTTCCTCAGATCATCCATTTGGGAAAAATTCTAGTCTTCCCCAAACAAGTCACTACTATCTATAGCACAGAAAGTTTCATACAGCTTTATTCTGCAAATTTCACACATAAAGAGCTGAAGTGTTGAAATAATTTAAATATCAGAGTTCTTCGGTATTAAGGAAAGTACACAGTTATTTCTGTCACTCAAATTATGTTGAGTGTGGAGAAAGGGATGTCATCTAGAAATTACAAACACCAATAGTTTCAGGGAAGTAACTATAATCCATGAATGAATGAGTCAAAGAAGTTATTCTTTGAAAACTGTCATACTAGAATTTAAGGTGCAAGATTTTCAATTCTGACCAGGCAAAAATAGTTAGGACTTTTTTTAGTCAGACTACACTCTTGGATTTCTACTGGGTTTAAAGAAGAAGTTTCAGAAAACAAAGAACTATAACAATGATGCAAGGGAAAACTAGGAAGAAAAAAAAAAATTGACTGGCAGTGACCACAGAGGGAGAGGGGAAAATTTATTCACAAGGAACATGAGTAGAAGGAATAACTTCCATGTTGATATTTTAAATCACGACTCTTTAAAAGAATATGTGCACATCTATACACATATACATATATATGCACATATATATACACACACATATTCTTTTAAATAGGCAAAATCTTTACTTTTTCTCCATGTGAAAAAGTATGAAGGCAAAAAGCAAATACTCGGTTTTTCTTCAGCTATCTTTCATGCCTCATATCTACAATCCACTTAAGGCTACCCAGATAGTGACAAGGCAAGAAAACAAGGGGAGGAAGTCTTTACAAAATAGTAAACACTCTAGATTCTAGAAAGATTTAGAGGTATAGAAATCACTTTAAATTCTACATTCTTTTAAAAAGATGCACTCTCCACAGTGCCTCAACCCCAACCTCCCAGATTAAAAAAAAAAAAAAAAGTCCAAATGAGGATTCCCTATTCAGCCAGAATTTACGGCCCTGTTAATTATATGCTTTTCCAATTTAACTGCATATAAATCACCATGTTAAACTATGTATTCAGCTTCAGTAGACCTGGTATGACGTACCTGTGCCAAGCTAATGCTGCTTGATCCTGAGAACATAGTAAGTATACTTTCAATAGTAAGAAACTAGTAGAAGACTATCCTCTCAAAATTCATCTTCAAACCCTGGTGTTCATCAGAATCTCCCCTGGTGCCTTGGGTGCATTTATTATTTCAAACCTCAGAAATGGAGTCAAACTGTGGTCTATCAATCCTACTATGCATTTGCAAATCTGAGGTGAGCTAAGCATCTGTAATAAATATCTGTAAGTAAGTCTGATACACACCAAAGAGTAAAAGCAGCAGACATAATAAATAGGATGGGGGAACTTAACATGTATAAACTGTAAACATATTTATTTATTTACTTATTTATAGGTAGGGTCTCCCTATATTACCCAGGCTAGTCTCCAACTGTGGATTCAAGGGATCCTCCCAGTCTCCCAAGTAATTGGGACTACCATGCCCAGTTTGTGTAAATTTTGTTTTTATTTATGACATTTTTCACGTGTGGCTGTAAAGGCACCTTAAGAAAGGGATGCCTTTTTTTCCTAAGGTGCATGAGTCATTTTATAGGATAGGAACACCTCCATGATACCAATCCAGTAGCTGCCTGCTATAGGCACAGTATGCTCTCCGTGGACTGCCATGGCTATTTGTCATTAATAAGGAAATGAACACAGCCAGCAGCAGTGTCTTCTTTTTCTCTCTCCAAGTCAATGAGCTGGCACCGAAAGTCTATTCCTCATCCCTATTGGTTTATCACTGGGCTGAAAAAAATCAAAGCAGTGAATTATCAACTGTCCTGGGAGAAGTACAAAATTGTTATCCTCAACAGTTTTTCCCAGAATCTGGAACCAACATCCTGGTTTACTAGAAGTCTACTTTGTTGCCCTGAACTTAATTCAACCCCAATCCTTTCCTCAAGACAGGTAAGTACATTTTATCTTAGGATATCTGATAGACTTTTAAGGTTAATTAATTTCACTTCAGGGTGAAATTAATTCATCAGAATACATTCTCATCCTTTATTTCTCTCTCTGGTACCAAAATTACCAAAATGCCCTAGGTAATAAGGCACCACTCTCCCTGGCTTGAAAATAAAATTCAGAAGACTTGATTACATACTTTTTCATCTGTGACAAACAAGAAATGTTATCAATCTGCCACTTGAGGCACAGCAATACAAAGTTACATAGTAGTAAACACAGCAACGGTTATTTACTTCCAAAGAAAAGTTTACAACTAAATTCAACACCTGGTTTTTGGAAAAAAGAAAGAAAGAAAAAGAAAAAAATCCGAACCCTAAGGAATCAGTTTAAAACTGGCTACAGTCATAAATCAAAGGGCTATAACATTTTTTTAAATGGAAAGCCAAAAACCAAAACAAAACCAAAACACATCTTGGCTCCCTCTTTTCCAAGTAACAATAATTTGTTATGCTGAAATTTCTAAATGATCCTGGAAAGGTAAATCTATCAGAAAGAGAAAAATATTCCTTTCAAACTCTTTGCAGTTAGGAGGTTCTACCAAATTAAAGAGATGCACTGATTTTAAACCTCAGAATTGGAGTCAAACTGCAGTCTAACAACTTCAGAATGACAACTTTTTAGTGGATTAACAACAAGAAGACAAAAGAAAAATGCAAGGGGTCTGGGAGTATGAGAATATACTATGAGACTTGTGGGATAGAAAATATCTTAGACTGGCCAGATCACAGTCTATTTATAACGACTATCAGAGATGTCCACAAACACACTCACCATCGAAAACACCTTCCACCTTCAGCTTTCAAGTTATTGCTAGCTGTGCGAAGGCTAGCTATGAATGAGGGAAATATTTGAAGGTGAGAAGAACAGCACTCTGGGAAAAGAAAACCCTGGCCCTATACTGGGCAGTGTTAAAATGAGTTACATCAATAGCTCAAGTCCAGGTCTCTAACCTCACCTAGGACAGATTCCAAGTCTAGGAGAGGCAGCGAGGGAGAAAAACCAAACATTCTGGAAGCCCTTCAGATCTTCAATGTGTGCAAACCCTTCCACATTAGGTGAAAGGTTAATCTTCTTGTACCCGAGAGAGTAATGTCCAAGTTTCCATCTCCTATCTGGGAGCCAGGAGCGCGAAAGGGCCACAAAGCTATAAGCGCCGTTAGCTGGGTCAGCGCAGCTGGGAGCCTGGGGAGCTGGAGATGCCAGCTCACCCCTCCCGTGCTGTTGCATGGCCGCCAGAGCTCACTGCCCTCCCCATCCTCCAGGCACCCCGGCTCCATCCAGCGCGGTAAGAAAGGAACCCAGGGCCCTGTCACGCTCTGACTGCAGCCTCTGCCCCCACTTAATAGGAAACAGCAAGGTGTCCACACGCCTAGTGCTCTCACCTCTGAACCTGCTAGATGCACCTGTAGCCAGGGCTGGCAGGGACCTGATGCAACCCTTAAAGCAGGCCAGGCCCGCACCCAGCGCCTCCCAAGGCTGCCCTCCCGAAGCAGAGCAGGGTGCAAGCCTTGCCAAGCCCTAGGGCCTACGCATCCAGAGGTGCCCGGCTGCTCCCTCCCAGAGCTTCCCAAGGGACAAGGTGAAGTGCCTCACCTGCTTGCCCCGGTAGAAGAGACGCTGGCACTCGGGCCGCACGTCGAACAGCGCCCAAACCCGCTCACGTAACTCCTCGATCGTGGCTTTGCGAGAAACGTCCTCAATGGTACGCGTTTGGGAACCATCGATGGTACGAACCTGGATCCACATCTCAGTACCGGGAGAGGGGGTCCCCTTTGTCTCCCCCGGTGCTTAGGACGCTGTGCCCCGCCGCCTCCCCAGCGCCTCGGGTTCTCAGCAGCTGGTAGGCGAGCGTGCCCACAGGCGAAAACGACCTACGGGACTTGGGCCCGACAGGCGGAGGCACCTCCCAGACCCCGTGCCCGCCCAGGCCAGCGAAGGAGAGAAAACCGGAACCAGCCCGAGGTGCTACCACAGCCTCCTCCTCACAAATAGGAAGAAGCCATGTCTCGGCCGAGCGAGTGTTTACTTATAGAGCTGTAGCTCCCACATGGAGGTCACGGCGCCAACCAGAATCTCGCGAGATCCATGCGGGGCTCCGCCTTAAAAAGGAAGCGGAGAGGGAGATGGTTATAGACCTCAGGGTTGGGGGGGCTGTGGAGGGGGAAGCGGGAGAGGGCGGGTCTCAGGGGCGGGGCTGCCGAAAGCCGTTATTTGCCCACAGCTTTTACCGGGACCCTGGGCACGCCTCCTATCAGATCTCAGCAGGTCTTGGCACTGCTCTTGGCAGTTTTAACCTTTTAGGACCTAGTTTCTGGCCGAGATGCGGGGGAGACTCCTCAGGCCTAGCGGATACACCTCTCTAGTCTCAAAAACACATCAAAAATTACAAGAAGTGCACTTTTGTGTTCATGGAATGTGGGACACAACCTAAATTCTGAGAAGCCTTGAGGGACTGGTGGATTGGGAAAGGCCCCAGGACTCTTCTGGAACACGGCCCCACCTGTTCAGACTGTTGCCTTAGCTTGGAAACCGCTTCCTGGGGTATCTCGCTGCTGAGCCCAGGTGCTGGGCCCTAGCCCCAAAGACCAGGGTCCCTGTTGGGACCACGTCCTGGGCTCCCACCCCAGCCTCAGACCGTTGAAGGCGTGGCGCCGAGGCCCCCAGCTAACTGCTGGCTAGAAGTGGAATTTCAGTTTGCAGACCAACGGGGACCTTCGTGTTAGGGATGTCTTTGGCGTAAGGGATTGTGGGTTTGCGGAAAACAGTTTTGAATAGTGCAGAACTACAAGCCTCCGAAGAAAGAACTTCAAAGAGCCTACTTAAAATAAATTCTCGAAATTCGCTCAGCGCAACACTACCTAAAAAAGAGCCCATATGAAATGAAAATATTAACTTCATAAGAAGGGAGAAAGCATCTGAAAGAAACAAAACAAATAACTTGTACCTTATATTTGCCTAAATTGGCAACTTGAATATTCAGACCAGTGCTAACTAATTCCATAGAGTAGCATTTTTAAATTACCGACTAAAACAATTATAAGTACAGACAAGGTCAGTATTATTTTATAAAAGAAAAATATGGGAGCTGAAGTTGTGGCTCAGGGGATAGAGCGCTCGCCCAGCACGTGTGAGGCACTGGGTTCAATCCTCAGCCCGACATAAAAATACACAACAAAAATAAAGGTATTGTATTCATCTACAACTAAAAAAGAAGGGAAAAAAAAGGCCCTACTCAAAAGGACAGAAAAATAATGGAATATACGTACATATTTCAGGTCTCTGCCCTTGCTGAAAATTTCGCATTCATTTAGACTCTAAATAAAATTCAACTCGTCTCCCAATTGTGCTAGAGCAAATATTAAGTGTTCATAACATATGCAAATGAAATGGTAGGTATACCTAAAGCACACCTCTGATCTGCCAGATGAAGGGAGAACTAGTTGCTATTATAAGATTATGTTATGCTTCTGTGGAGTTATGTAGTTTTTGTTGTTGTTTCCTGCTCACAATTTACAGTCTAGTTAGGATTTAGCAAAAATTAAAACAGGATGATTTAATACTAAACAGTTTGATGTTAATGAAAACCTCGATTAGAGATGTCAAAGCCGAGACTAAAATGATCTGAAAGACAGGTGTAAAACATAGCCTGAGTTAGATGGACTATTGTAGGCTAAAGCAGCATTTAACTGTTGGGTTCTCCGAATGGGATAATCAGAATTGTAATCCCAATTTAGCTCTCTATTTAAGACGTGAATCTTGGGACATTTTACTCGCTCCAGTTTCCTCCATGTAAATAGGTACTTATACACTAATGAATGTAAAATACTTTGCTCAGTGCCTATCGCTTAGTACACAATAAATTACTTTAGTGCTATTGTTATGGAAAGGATTTAGATAAACAAAGAGTGCCCAAAGAGGAAAGTATGCATTTTCGGATCAGCAGAGATTGCATATCAAAGAAAGGTTGACTAAATAGGGAAGAGCAGTGTGTGAAGATTAGCATTCACAACAGTATTCCCCGCCTGCCCCCATGGGTATAGGGAGGAGACTAAGGGTACTTTGATGTGATGAAGTACTTGGAAAGACAGTAGGATGATCTAGGGAGAGAAGCAGGAGAAAGATACTGTCTGATTTTCTCAAAAGAGACAATTGTGCCAATTTTGGCAAAATTTGTGGAGTAGGAGAGGAAAGGGTATATTCCAGAGTATTCTAGAAAATTGAGCTTCCAGAATGTGAAAAAAAATCTTTTCCATCTGCACCTCAGACCATTAATCTCCAGGATATATAAAGAACTAAAAAACCTTAATACCCAAAAAAACAAACTACCCAATCAACAAATGGGCAAAGGAACTAAACAGACACTTCACAGAGGAAGAAATATGATCATCAACAAATATATGAAAAAAGGTTCATCATCTCTTGCAATTAGAGAAATGCAAATTAAAACTACTTTAAAATTTAATCTCACTCCAGTAAGAATGGTGATAATTAACAAGAATACAACAATAAATGTTAGCGAGATGTGGGGGGGAGGGAAGGTACACTCATACATTGCTGGTAGGACTGAAAATTGGTACAACCACTGTGGAAAGCAGTTTGGAGATTCCTCAGAAAACTTGGACTGGAACAACCATTTGACCCAATTATTCCACTCCTCTAGTGACATGGCCACATCAAGTTTATAGCACCTCAATTCAGAATAGCTAAAGTATGGAACCAACCTCAGTGCCCTTCAACAGAAGAATGGATAAAGAAAATGTGGTATATATACACAATCGAATATTTCTCAGCCATAAGGAAAAATGAAATTATGGCCTTTTCCTATAAATGGATGGAACTGGAGATTATCATGCTAAGTGAAATAAGCCAACCCCCCAAAACTAAAGGCTGAATGTTCTCTCTGATAGTGGATGCTGACTCACAATGGGTGTGTGTGAAGGAGTGGAGCTTCACTGGATTGGAAGGGTGAAGGAGAGGAGGAGAAAAGGGGGGATGGGAATAGGAAATAGAGTAGAATGAATCAGACATAACTTTTCTATGTTCATTTATGAATATACAACCGGTGGAACTCCCCACCATGTACAACCACAAATATGGGCATTTATACTCCATATATGTATGATATGTCAAAATAATTCTACTTCATGTATAATTAAAAAGAACAAATTTTTAAAAAATCTTTGTCCATGGTAAAAAAAAATACAATGATCAGACACCAAAAAAAAAAAAAAAAAAGAAAAGAAAAGAAAGAAAAAGAAAAGAAAAAGACATTTGAACTTTTAAGGCTCATGGAATATATGGATGTAAGGAAAGAGAAAATGGAATGTTGACAATTCTTAAATTTCTACTTGGAAGCTTTAAATGAATGGGTTAGATAACACTATTTATAGTGTTCTTAACTACAAGAGGGAGCAAGTTGGGGAAATGCAGCAAGTTCCATTTGAGCTGTATTGCATTTGAAATCCATCCAAAATATACTGAGATGAAGAAGTCTGACAGTTAAAAATACAAGTCCAAAATATTTTAAAAAGAGGGGCTAGTCAAGACTTCCTGTACTCAGTCCTATGAAGAACTTCATCCTTCTTAATGAAGTAGAATTTTACTAGAAAAGTAAAAACTTCAGCAAGTGGGGGTGGGGCAGGATTGGTGGTATTAACTGAAAAGAGCTCAAAGGGATCTTCTGGGTGATGGTAATATTTTGTATTTTGACCTTTACAGTGAAGTATATACGTAAACATTTGTTGAAGTATAAACATGATTCATTCACTTTATTAAGTTCTTATATATGCCTACAGTCACAATTACTGTAGTTTTTATATATGCCTACAGTCACAATTAGAGGTCTTTCTGGGCTGGGGATGTGGCTCAAGCAGTAGCCCGCTCGTCTGGCATGCGGCCCGAGCTCGAGCCTCAGCACCACATACAAACAACGATGTTGTGTCCGCCGATAACTAAAAAATAAATAAAAAAGAGGTCTTTTTTAGAAAAAGTGGGCTTTGTGTGTGGTACTTGGAATTGAACCCAAGAGCACTATACCTCTGATTTACATACCCGGTCTTTGTATTTTGAGACAGGATCTTGGTAAATTTCCAGGCTCATCTCTAACTTGAGATCCTCCTGCTTCAGTTTCTAGAGTAGCTGGTATTACAGGGATGAGCCACCAGACCTGGCTGAAAAGAAAACTTTCATTTTCTGCCTATTGATGGTATAAATGAAAATATTAATGCTATACCTGGTCTCAGGGTTAATATGTAGAGAAATTCAAAAAGGAAGAACTTTCTGTTCTTTTTCAGGGAGTAATTAAGAAAGTCTGGTTAAGAATTTGATCTGGTCAAAGGTAAAGAAAAGCTAAATTTAAAATCAGGTTATGCAGTTAAGGATGCTGAAGATTGGTTGGTCTAGCTTTAGAAAGGTATGGAAACTATATGCATGTACAAGCATGAGTATATGAAAGTATGCTCTTTTTTTTTTTTCTTTTTGGTACTAGGGATCGAACCCAGGGTGCTTAACCACTGAACTACACTAACCCCCTTTTTGTTTTAAGACAGGGTCTCGCTAAGTTGTTCATGCTGGCCTTGAACTGGTGATCCTCCTGCCTTAGTATCCCCAGACACTGGGATTACAGGCATGTGCCATCACATAGACTGTTAGGTGCTTTTGTATATGCACACACAGGAATGTGTATGCATGTGAATGAATGTGTGTACTATGTGTGCATGTGTAACTATATTT